TCGACTTCTGTTTACCGTAAAACTGCTTTGGGATAGTGTGTATTTCCATAGATAGAAAACGCGTGATCCAAGGTGTATGAATGGGTCCAGCCGCTTTCATTCCAGCCAGGAATTCGCCATTTTGAAGTACTCTCATATAAAAATAATAATATTTACTTCATTCGCTTCATTCTGTATCTACAGCTTTTGACGCATGGCACAGCGCGGCGTCAAACAGGTTAGGTCACATAGTGCACTACATAGAGGTTACATAGAGGGGGGGGGCGTTCAAAGTGGATGCTGTCTCGGTCACTCAGATTGGGGTCCTTTGCGGTGGTCTTCTCAGCCTTTCATGAATAAGCCTATTTCTCATAACTATCACTAGAAGCAGAACGGGTCCAAGCCAACGAATGGTCCTATGTTAGGACCTGTGCTGGCATAAGATAGCAAATTTCACTAGCGCTAAAAGTCCACAAATATTCCAGTGACTACTGCAAATTCACCTCCAACTGCTCGGGCCATCATTTTGCTTTGGTCCATCACCATAATCTAATAGTGTTTCCATGTAAAAATCTCTTCTGCATTCTGGGTGGGTGACTAGAAAACACCAAGCGATTTATTCCCCTTTAACTAGCCATACATGTTTTCCCGTCGAAGGCGACACGGCGGTGTCGCCGTCGATTCCCCAGGGAACGTCTATTTCTTGCCTATCACATTCCGGCGGCCGACATGCTTCACTCAATAAGCTTCGAATGTACGAAGAACCAGAAACGGAAAAAGTGCGTCATGTTGTGGCTTACCTTCAGCTCGTCTAGCTCATTCCCGATGTTGTCCATTTCATGCTTGGTGACGCCTGCAGTGTAGACCACTTTGATACCGTAACCATGTTCTAGTTTCGTGGTGAGCGATTCGTGTGGCTGAATAAAAATGTCTTTTCCCAAGTACTCAAACTTGATATAATCAGAAGTTAAGAAGGGTTGCATAAAGAAAGAAGGGCTGGATAACATTGAAAGACAGCTAGGGAAGTACAAACTTGCTGCTGTAAGTCGGCGTAGAATTCAAGCCTGCACTGAATCCCCCAATTCCTATGAGCCCCCGTTCCGTGCTGCTGCGAATGGTATCCTACACTCCACCCCATTTATTGGTTAATAAAACTTCCGTGAAGTGGCTATTCTGACCCCAATGAAGTAGCGTTCATTCCTCATGGCCCTCGCTAGTGCTTCTTTTTTCGAAGTGGAAGTGCCTTTATTGAGTTGAATTCGTCCATTCATAATGCTCCCATCGATGCCGCAGGCTGTCCCCGCCAACTCCTCATCGGCGCTGCTGCGTGTGAATGAATTTTTGATTAAATATTCACTGCGTACTGCGATCGGAACCCAGTCTATAAGATTTCCTTTTTTAACGTCAAAATTTTGCCTCACCAAACGCCTGTTCTACAGTTTGTTTGCAAAAGTAGCTACTCATATGGGCGAAGAAATAAACATATACAGGGTAGCGATTGAATAAATATTATATAAATAAATATTGGCGCATGGTTTATTGACTCTATTTTTACATAGAAAAGCTATTAAGTTTTCAGAACTTTACTTTTATACAGAACATAGCAATACATTACTAATGTAGGTGCTCAAAATGGCCTTTCTCGGCAGCAACACAGGCTTCAAGTCTCTTCTCACGCACGGACATTTGCGCGAGCCGCAAAAGCTGACGTCAAGTTCTTTCTACTCCTTCTCCAAGAACGCCTGGGTCGGAGTTCCAAACTTCGCTGTTGGCTTAGGAGGACACTTTGCTGCGAGTAGACCCCATACCGCAGAATCCATTGGGTTCAAAACGTTCGAGTTAGATGGCCAAATATCTTGTGGCCAGTAACCTTGAAAGTGACACCCTCTCTCCAACATAGATTTTGCCGCATGTGTATTCGCCCACCAGCCTTGCTGAAGAATGCAGTGATCATCGCTGAACGTCGACATTCCGAAGAAGGAGCACATCCCGTTAAAGTGTTCTGTATTCGAAATATATTCGAAAAATCATGCACCAATATTTAGTATCCTATTATATAGTATATTTAGCCATCCTGTACTTGCAAGTGATCAAAACTATAGACGGTGAAATCGTAGCCAAGCGATTCAGAGATAAAGCGCGACATAGAAGAAGAGACATAGCAAGTGCTAACAAATTGAGCTCACCAGAGCATGTCGAGGCTCATCGCTTTGTTTCAAAGTGCCGACCTTCTTCCAACCGAAATGATTGATCAGACGGCACTTCGCGTTGTTCAGATTCCGATCGCCAGGAACAATACGGAAGAATGTTGGATACAGCTGAAAAAGGTGCCTTCCCTCAAGAATAAGCTAAACCGAATGAATGAAAGATAAGAAATGGTAAAAGCTAATGGGAACGTCCATGCTAATGAGTTGCCCAGCCGATTTATATCAAGGCGACCCTGTCACCTGTATTTTGATTTAGATTTGAGGGATCAGTTTGACGGCATCAGACTCTTGGGAACAAACCTTTCATCCCCTTGGATCAGTCCAGTAGTTACCATCTGATTTGGCTGAAGCAAACGAACCCCTGGGGTCTCACGAGGCTCAAAATTCCGCTCTCATCTGGCTTGCCGGTTACACGAGGACTGTCGGTATGCTAATGTCTCGAAGCCCCGGCAGGCTCCTATTGCCCTACTGTGGTGGTAATGGCACCACTGCCGACTGGTGCAGGTGTTTCATGAGTTCACTCGCGAAAAACTGCACCAGTCGGGCAGTGGTCGGCATCCGGGCCGTCGGCATCGAGGCGCGCGCTGGCCCATCCTTTTCGATCTCTCAGCTATATTATTCTTGGATACTGACATTTTCCTACGACAGATGGAGGTAAATATGGCCTGACCTCAATTCTCGATTGCGCCTGCTTCATTTAGAATCATCAGTGTTACGTAATCAAGGACAGCAACACCTCCAGCCGTCACACGTTATCAGGCTCGTGATCGCTGCCTTTAAACAAGGGAGACATAACCCATCTAGATTGAGTTTCTACACCGTCCCACGTCAAAATCTTCTTTGGATTTGTCCACTGGGGTTTTCAATATGAATATTCTTGTACTCATGTGTTGCAATTTCAGTCCCGCATGAAGCAATATGCACCTTTTCACAGCCATGTCGGAAATTAATAATTCACGACAGCGGGCCACTGGCACCCACACCAGGAACTTACTGATCGCTATTGCTGAAAGTGGTTCAATGAGAAAACTTTATTGCTTAGTATCCCTTTTCAATGATGAACTTGTACCTCTCACATATCACAGTGTCATCGATACGGAGAAAATGTGGCACCATTCATCTCGAACCCGGTCAGGGATCAAATCCTGATTCCTATACATCCAGGCCAACCAAGCCTTTCATCCTCCGAAGAAGGTTGATTGACAGCGAACTTGTGTGAGAGGAGGAATACGCTTGTAAATCGGCTGTCCCACCCTCTGCGCTCCCGAGGTCACTCAAAGTAAATCGTTTTCAAAAGCCCGTTAAGATTTCGTAGGTAGCAGCTTGGAAATGGGGTGCCCGCATCCAAGGAATATTATGTACTGGAGGCCGAAGTGTCACTCAGCTTCCCGTAAGTGGACACGGACAACGAAAAACGATCTGGTATTTTTCCCAATGTCAACGCTTATAAGAGCTACTTTTTCCTATCTAATTTCGATCTGAAGGTTATTATAGGAGTTGAAGCAATAGTCTAAATGATATGCAGTTTGAAGAGAGGTGAGAAGTGTAAAAGCGGTCCAACATTAAAACAGAAGAAAGAGGGTTCCACTGCAAGCAGCATTCAGAATTTTTTCAGGAGAACATTTCATGTGTCGTACATTAAATGAGCTCAGCCCTTGAAATGTAATACAGATTCAGGCAATCATATCAGTTGCATAAGGTGATAGTGCGGACTTCTCGGAGAACGCTGCTTCAGAGAGCACCTCATCACAAAAAGTTAGAAGTTGTAACAGAACCAAACAGCTGGTAGTTTTTTAACCACTTAATTTTCTTTCTAAACACCTCTCATCTAACATTCAGAGAGGCTCTGCTGGTTGCCCGAAACTTCCTAATCAAACAAGGTTGTTGTCACGGCTCTACCGGTTCTGCTCTAGTAAACACGCAGGATTTCTGCAAGGGTGCTCGTCAATTTTATTTCAGGTTCCTCCTAGGCAGGCAAGAGGTGGTCATATAGAAAACGATCGCCGTCAAAAGTGGGTTGACAATAGCTGTTAATATTTAGTGGCCTATCTCAAGATTACGCGGAGCATTAGTCGGAATACCTTCAAAACAAGCGTAAGGGCATTCTTTTCTCGCTATGCTTTAGGTGGAGAAGAAGAGGCTCCTGATTGCATGGGCAATTTTTTTGTTTCTCCTATGTTCCTGCTCCTCCTGGGCTAAATTTAAGGGGATGCCCCGTGTCTTGCGATAGCGCTATATTATCTTTTCTTGGCATTTTTCCAGAAAAGGAGAACCAGACACACCTTTTCTACAAAAATAATAGTAAATCTTGCGGCATGAATCTCATAAACTTTCCAGAATCTTCATGCCGAGTTTCTAAACAGGCGAAGTCCTATCTGGCGCGGCTTTAATGCTATGCAAATCGGTCGAAGAAGTCGAACCCACAGACAACTTGAAGCTGAATCGGTTCCCTTCATTCGGCGCTGCGAGGGATCCATTCGTTCATTAACAAGTTCCTTCGGATGTTAACCGCTGGTCATAATCCTTTGTTAGCATTCCTCACCAAACCTTCCCCCCCCCCCCCTGCACAAGGAACCCTGTACTTGCCAATGGCAGCAGTAGCACGAGGCGTTGCTCGACGCCTGACGCTTGATTCACTTAGGCCTTCAATCATCCCGCTTATCTACTTCACATCAGCTTCGCCGGCTAGACGGATGCCCGAGTGAATGAAAGAAGATAGGCGATGTTCTCAAATTTGTCCTTCAGCGTGAGCTTTTAGAAACTACACTTTCAGGGTTTCTACTAATTGTAGGTTATTTTTGAGATAGTAGCTGACAGGTTTGTTCACTATGGAGAGTAAGCAATCGGTGCGCCTTGAGCAACACCCACATTCAACCACTAGAGCTGGTAATCGAGAAAGGGGAATCCCATCTATGGGAATCAAATAGGGAGGCTCAAAAAATCAATAATGTGCTATTTAATAGGTATAGATATTTTTTCTATTCAGAATTAATAGGAAGAAAGTCACACCACCTTAATAATCTTTGGAGAAGTGTGAACGGGGGCCGTTAAATGGGATAGCCATTCAGGTGGGTTTCTGACAAATTTGCTGGAAGTTCTACGAAATTAGCATGAAGCAGAGAAAATTGGAGAATCGGCCGTTTCAGTATACTGTTTACACCTCCTTCAAACCCTATAGAAACAGCTTATCGTATTGGGGAAGGGAGCCTTCCGAGACTTCTTTCTCCACTTCTTTCTCATTCAAAATATTGTCCCCTGTACTTATCTGTACCTCTTGTGAGTCGGCAGTACCGAACTTCGCATGAGTCTCTGCATAGCTTAACTGCACCACTTGCCAGTATTTGAGTGCCATTGCGACTGGCTCGTTCACCTGAAAATGGCGTCGTGCTTAATCTTAGGAAACAGCCGTCCATTCCAAAAACTGGTTAATAGTCAAGTAGATTTCGTCTACGATTTCCATGCATATTTGCGATGTAATTCGTATCAAAGAGTGTTTTTCAGGTAATTCCTAATATGAGCAGGACAAAAACGCAATCCTTTGGCTCATAATAAAATGTTTTGGTACTAGCAATTAGGGAAATGATGTTGACTCGAACGTACCTCTGTGCACATCCCGCCAAACAGCGCCACTGGACGAGGTCGTGACGCAAGCGATCAAGTCGAACAACGCCTTCTTTCCAGGAGACGTTTTGCACTGGAAGAGGAATTTTTTGAAAGAATAGCTAAAAAAACCAACCGGTTTGGTTCGTGGAGGTTGAGTTACAGATAACAAAGAAGATTTTCAGTGAACTGACTCCCAGTTCCTCATGGCTGCATGCCATTGCCCAATCCGCTGCCTTCAAGATCGTTGTCCCGTAACTTATGTTTTTAGTGCCTTTTTGACGACAACGCCGCAATATAATGTGACTCTACGGGCTCATTTAGACTGAATGTATGGTTGACTTTCGCCTTTCAAAACTTTGAACACTTCTGGGTGGGCTTCAGTTCAAGTATGTCAACGGCTATATCAATCATCAATGAAGTTCATCTATCCCCAAATATGTGAGTAGTTAAGCGCACGGCTCATTCTGCAGGAAGAACTCCCTATCCATCCAAGGAACCAGTCCAATAACCATCCTCCAGTGCATCGGTTTTACCGCGTTTTCATCTTCAACTGCGAGAACGTGTTGTCAGACACCTTTTCCACGAGGTAACCAAACCAGCCTTTTTTCTGCTGGGGCCGTCTGCTGAATGTTGGGGAGGGGATGGGGTCCCGTACCGTCGACGAACTGACCTTCACTTTTGATCCTTGAAGCGGCTCATTTGTCGTCAGTTCGTCGCCTCGGCGCACGCCCATCCTCTCTCCCACATTCAGCATTCGGCCCCCAGCAGAAACGCCAAAAGGGCTGGCTTGCTTACTTCCCTTTCCACGGCCCCAGGGTAGGAATGTGGAACCAGGTTCTTCTCTCCTGGTCTCGTGATAACAATAAAAAGAGCGGCAGACGGCTTTCAATACGCAATGCTCGTATTCGGTCTAATACGGGACAGAATGACCTAATAGGAATAGTTGCTTGAAAAAAAAAACATGCTGCATGTCTAGCAGAGAGCTTCTTAAACTTCACCAGTGCAATACTCACGTCAACGCTGAAGTTCAGCTTTGTCACCCGTCCTAATTAGGCCTTTCATGGTAGGTGAAGCGAGCAAACCCAAGGGCAGTCAATGTTGCACTTGCCTTCGCATGTGTGCCAGGGCAAACCGAAAGAGTTGAAATGTTGATTGTTGAACGCTGATTACGGTAGGCTAGAAGTCATAATTAGATGTCCTGCTTCCTAATGTGAGCTAGTAGTTATATTAGGTGTGCCTTTACTCCTATAATTCCTATTGTTATGTAGGACGAAATGAAAGTTGGATTGATTGGTCCTCAGTCGGCCTAGTTCAGGTTTGTGGTTTTTGCTCAGCTAACAGTAGCGTCTAAATTTCCTTATAACCTTAACTTCACAAAAAGCTTTACTAATATCTCTACAAGGAAGCTGTGTCATGTGCAAAACATCACACCCACATTGAAATCGAATCCATTCACCCTTTACTACCTCATTTTTCCAAGATGGGGGGATTTTTCTCGAAATTTGCATTCGTTGCTATATTTGACGATAGATCCGTCTATGAGCTTAATTCAAGTCATAGGAACCAATATTGCATCCATTTCACGCAAAAAGGCCTGGCATCGGGCTACAGGCACGCAAAACGCGCCGAGGCACCTCGGATCGCAAGTGTTGCTGAAAAATTGTCTTAAGGAAGAGTTAAATTCAGAGACTATGAATATCACACTCGTTCACCATAAAAATGTTCAGAGCTCGCGCCACAGGCACACGCGCCAAACGAGTGTGGCAATGCTGACGCCTGTGGCGCTCTCTCACCAAGTGGATTGGGATATTCGAGTCTTACGATTCTGATTGTTATTGGAAGCAAGTAGCTAAATTCAACGTTTGAAAGAAATCGATCAAATTCCGCCCTAAACCTGGAAAAAAAGGACAGTAAAGGGAAAGCACTGTCAAGAAAGACATGAGAGCTGGGGCCGAAATCAGCAATTCGCTAAAATTCACATTACAAGAGGCAGCAAGGCAGGGTATTCATGGAAGACTGTGATTCTGAACGAAACAGAATCTGTGGCGTATTCTAAAAAAGATTAGTCGAGGCCGAACGATTTTACCCTCTCAT